CGGGCCCCCTCCCCAACTCTCTGCCGCTACTGTGCAGGTTCTCCCCCGACCTGCTGGGCCTGCTGGCGAGCTCGGCCCTGGCCTGGCTGGCCGTGGAGGTGCTGGCCGTCCTGCTGGGCCTCTACCTTGCCGCGATCAACACAGACCTGACGCCCTTCGACCTGGTCGCCTTCTCGGGCTACAAATACGTCGGGTGAGGAGCTCGCCCTTCGACCTGGTCGCCTTCTCGGGCTACAAATACGTCGGGTGAGGAGCTCGGGACCCTTGCGTGCTGGGGGGAACGGAATGGGGCTGGGGCGGGGCTGACCCTTCCCGACTTTTTCTCCTTGCCTTGCCAGCATGATCATGGGCCTCTTGGCAGGGCTGGTGTTTGGGAAGACCGGGTATTACGTGCTGCTCGGCTGGTGCTGCATCACCACCTTTGTCTTTATGGTAAGAGAGAGGCCGCCAGCCAGGCTCGGCTGAGGGGAGATGGGCGGCCTTTCCCTCGACCTTTTCGGCTCCTTGTCCGGTCTGGTCTGTTCTCCTCTCCTAGATCCGTACGCTGCGCCTGAAGATCCTGTTGGAGGCAGCTGAAGGGGTACTGAGGCGGGATACCCAGAACCAGCTGCGCATGTACCTGACCGTGGCTGTGTCCGGGCTGCAGCCCCTCCTTATGTGCTGGCTCACGTTTCACCTCATCTACTGATGCGTTGTTCAGGAAGCTGATTTGTGCCCCCCCCATGCACGCCACCTTGAGCCTCTGTCCCCTCCAACCAAGCTGCCGGGGGCTGTGTGCATGTGCAGCAGGAAGGGGCGTGTGCGTGTAAAGGAGGCAGAGCAGGGCAAACAGGCTTCTTGGGGCCATAATTCATGGCTCCCCCAGTCCTGCTTGGGGAGGGGAACTGGGAACCTTGCTCTGCTGTACTCCCCCCTTGATTTGGCTCAAGAAGTCTGCTTGTCCTGCTCTTCCCTGTCTAGTTCCTGCCCAGCCACCCAGCACGGGTGGTGCTTGGTCTCTTCAGGACCATGGATTTCCAGGCTCTGCTTGTCAAACAAAATAAAATGTGGAAAAGAGACCAGGTGCTTTCTGTGGCTTTGAGAGGAGGTACCAGAAGGCATTTTCTGTCTCCCACTTGTCCCTCCCTTCCCCACCCCAGTGGTTTCCCTTCCGCAAACCGTGCTGCGCCTACTTCTTCCATGCTGAACTGCCCAAGCGGCTGCCTTGCTCTGCTACATGTGGACAGAAGACTGAACCAGACTGTGGGCAGGTGGCTTGGTTCTGCCTTCGCCAACCGGGCCTGTGCTTGGAAAAGAGGGGAAGAGAAGCAGTTGGGTCTCTGGCTGTGGACAAGCAGTTTTAGCATGGGCACCTGTTAATTTCAGCCAAGGGAAAGACTCCAGGGAGTGCCAGCTACTACAAAGGTTCTTGGCTGGCCCTTTGTTGCCTGCGCTAAATGGGCAAAGGGCAGTGTTAGTTGGGCAGGGCAAGGACTTTCAGCTGCTGCCATAGTCCACTGCTATACCTACACCCCCTGCCAAACAGTCCTTACAACACTAAGCCATTTGTTACACAAAAGAAGCTTAGTTACTCTACTTTATTCAGAGTCCCTTCATTACTAAAAACACAAATTAAAAGAAGAGTCCCTAAAGAGATTTGATTTGTTTTAAAAAAGTATAAAAACCCATTTAAAGCTAGCCAGGTAGAACCTTGCTCAGTGAGATGCCTCTGCAGCGGGGGGGGCTTCGCAGGAACCAGCTCTGTAACTCAGTGAAGATCTGTCTTGCAGGCTGGAAACAGACCCTTCCCTGATAAACTTTTGGCAAAGGCCGCAACAAGGGAAGGAGCAGAGCTGAAATACAAGGTGGAAATGTTTGCAGCAGCAGCTGCTCTTCCTAAAAGTGCAATCAAAGGCCATCAGTTGCCTCAGTGCTGGGGAGGGAGGGAGCACTTGAAGGACACCCCCCCAACCACTCTCTGCTTCCTCGCAAAGCCAGAGGGATGAAAGTTTTGGGTGGACCAGGGTCTGCGAGCCTAAAGCTGTCCGTCTCTCTAAAGCTGGCGGGCTTGGGGCAGAAAGGAACGTGCCAGCCGATCCTTCAGCCTCAACAACCAGCTTGTTGCATCTAATGATCTCAAGAAGGTGGAGCCTGGAAAATGGAGCAAGACTGGGCAGCCTCCCAAAAGAAAGGGAGAAAGGCACTGGTCTGGCGAGGAAGAGCCATGGACTTTTTGGAGAAGGGCTGAGCTTAAGCCATGCTGAGCAGTGAACTAAGGGTGCCCGAGGCCCCCGCCCGCCCCCGCCCAGAGTGACTGGTCCAACGAGCTGTTGGACGGAGGCTTCGTGCCTTGCTGTTTTCCCTTCCTGGCCCCCAAATTGGAGGATCTCGCACCCGTTGTACTATACTAGCTCGGCCATGTTCGTGACACTCAGCACTACTCACTGGTGTCTCCCAGGGAAGCGGGATTTGGCAGAGCCCTTGTGGAAACTGCTGCAGAAGCACTGTTCTTGGGGTAGGACCCACGGTCCACAAGCAGTAGCTGCTTTATGCAGACTAATTCCCTGCCCCACAAAAATGCATGGATATGGTGATATAGTAGTTGGGCCCGCCCAGCTTAAGAGAGGGAAAGCAGTGCCTCCGGGTCTCTCAGACACACTGGATTAATTCTGGGGAAGCATGTTGGGAGCAGAGATGGGAACGTACCCAAAACTTTTCCTCCTGGAGAAAAGTGCTTTAGCAGTCCTGCCCCCCTTCTTTCCCCAACAGAACTAATGCCTGCAGGACACAGCTGCACCCCCCAGATCAACATCTCTCAGGACTTCCAGCCCAAACGACCACCAGCTGCTCTGGCTGGGGTTCTGGGAGTTGCTGTCCCAACACACGAAGAGGACACCAAGTGGGGGCAGGATTAGGTGAGATACAGTCACCCAGAGGGAAGGCAAGGCAGGGCAGGGCAGTGCATCAAGTGGTGAGTCCTTGCTGGCTCCGGAGAGCAGGAGGGGCACTGTCCGCAGCTCCCCTCCAGACTCCCGTGGAGGCAGGAGAAGGGGGCAGACAGCGCCACCCCTCGGAGTCAGCGGTGGCCAAGCTGCACCGGGAAGCCTCTGGTGAACAAAGCTGACAGGTGAAAGAGGAATGATCCGCGTGTTTTCTACAAAGGCAAGGCAAGGCCAGGCCAGGCCACCTGCTCTAGTATTTACATGCTGCTGCGGTTCCTGGCGTGTTCTGAGAGCGCACCTAGGCAGCTCTCTCAAAGTGTGTAGGCATTGCTCATCAGGTATTCCTTGTCGTCCAGGGTGCTCCACACTGTTCCCACAGACAGCTCGGGGTTCTTCTGGCAGATCTTGACAAAGAAAACCACCATAGACCCCAGCAGGATGGCAACCAGGATGGCCAGAAGAACTGCCAGGACCACAGCTGTGGAAGAGAGAGAGGCAGAGCATCAGGAGGAGCAGGAAAGAGGCTGGACTTTCAGGAATCAGGGGAGCCTCCCTCTTGCCTGCTTGGTTGGCAAGGCAACTGGTACAGCTTTGGTCTACTTGTCCAGAATGAGAACTTCTCCACCCGAGTGCCGCCGCTTCCCCGCAGGAGTGCTTGACAGAAAGGGAATGTGTAAGTGATCCGACTTCCTCCGCTGGAGGAGCTGTGGCCATGCCATGAGCAGAATCCCCCCAGCCAGCAGCCCTTCCCTTCTCAGAAGAACTGCAAAGAGTTCTGCTGTACAAACCAGCAGCCCCAGGAACAAACCCGCCGAGGTGCCCCAGAAGTCCAAGGCCCCTCCTGGATTGAACCGGCTCGAGAGCAGAGGTGTGGCACGGGACTCCACTTCCCCCCTCAGGTGGTCCCAGCACCCTCAGCAGAAGACTAGCTACGCACCTCTGGTGGAGAAGCCAAAGGGTTCAGACGGGAGGTGAGTGTGTGCATCAATGTCTTCTGGTTCTTCGGTTATCTCTAAAAGCCAGAGAAGACAAAGAGAAACTGGTGAAAAGTGGCAGAAAGCAAGCAGAGCAAGTTGGCAGGGCAAATTGGAGCTTGATGAGGAAAGAACAGGAGTCCAGGCTGGCCTTCTGGCCACTACAGTTGGGCAGGGGAACCTGGACTTTCCCAAACCACTTTGGGTCATGAGTGTGCCAGCTGCTCTGGGAAAGAAAATGCAAGACGGCCGGGGGGGGGTGACAGGTGTTACCTTTGTCACCTGTGCACTGGCTCCAGCAGTGCTCCTCAAAGAGATAGTTGTTCTTGTTGCCACGGCAGCCACCATAGATGAACATCTTGCACATTCGTGTCTCTATGTCAAAGTACCAGCGCAGGAAGGAGGCACGGCAGGGACCCACTGCCCGGGGCGCAGCACAGAATTCTGGGGGGGAAACAGTTTGTTCTTGCCTTAGCCCACTGAAGGGAGAAGGGCAGTCCAGGGTCTGGGAAAGGTAGGTGCCATCTTACCTGCGAAGCCAGGCCTGTTGTCACTGGGTTCCTGGTGATGGCGGACTCTCGAGGCAGCCACTGGGGAGGAATGCAGAGCCGTTAGCCAACGGTCACCTCTCTGGCAAAAGCTGGCTCCTGATACTTTCCAGGCCCTCCCCACTTCCAGACCTGGGCCACTCCCAGCTTTTGAAGCCCCTAACTTGCACATCAAAGGTCCTAGAGGCCCTGGCATTTCTGGTTAACTGGCCAGCCTGCCCCACTCCCCAAAAGGTAGCCTTGTGCCGAGCAGTGGGTAAGACATAGCTTGCAGCAAGACCTCAAGAGATCTCAGGCTTTGTAGGTTGCAGAGAGGCTCTACAGCAGAGCCTTGGCCATGGAGGCAGCATTAAGGAGCTGTATATTCTGGGAGACACCAGCCTCCACCCCAGGTGTGCTCTGGGAGGAGCCACTCGAGGTCCTGACTCCTGTCCATCCTTCTAGCCCCACACATTACCACAGGAACCTTACCTTTAGTGGCTGGCGAACTAGGTACCACAGTTGCCTCTGCACCTCCATCTGAAAGCCAAGACAATTCCAGCATCAGACACACAGAGCTACAGTCTTCTGAAGGGAGTTCCACCAAGAGGCTTGGCGGCCTGTTCTGACCCAGAACACTCTCAACTTTCGGCTGCTCTTGCCCAGAGAGAGAGATGAGCAGCGTTGACAGAATCCCCGGGAAGACCTCTGCGCATTCAGCCTTCGTCTGGCTGCTGCTCCAGAGAGAAATCTGCTGTATTTCAGTTTGAAGCTGCATTCCTGATGGAGACCTCAACTACCTCACTTACCAGGAACCAACTGGGGATTTCTAGCACAAGTCACTTTATCGATTTGGAGGAGGAGGAAGAATCACTGCAAGCTGCTTGCTCACAGGGCTAAGAATTTGGGTAGAGTGTAAACCAAGAGGCATGGAAGGAAGAAAGCCAGCAGGAGCCATGTGCTCCTAGTGGTGGCAGTAGGAAAAGAGGAGAGATTTGCAGAAGCAGCAGCAAGCACTGCGTTCACAAAGACCGAATATGCTTTCCCCCAAATTCCCTCTGGCAACTCTCTGTGATATGCTCACCTGTGACACATATCTGGAGGCAGTCCTGTTTTGAGACGAAGTTGTTGGCATTGGCTTTGCAACCCCCAAAAATGAATTCCTGGCACATCTGACTGGTGGCATTGTACCACCACCGATGGAAGGACGCCCGACAAGGGCCCACCACCTTGGGTGAGTGACATCGGTCTGAAAGCAAAGAGAGGTCCATGGAAGGAGGTGGCCTGGGAGGGGCAAGTTGCCAAGAAGGGAACCTCCACAGCTCAAATATTGTTCCCTGGGTGAGCTTCTGATGGCATTCAGGGGCACCCCAACACTTAGCTGCCGCCCAGCAGGAGCTGCTCAGGACTCCAACAGTGTGGTGTAACTCCCTCCAGATTGGCCTGGAAAAGCTAAGCAGGTAGGGTTGTGAACCAATGCAAGATTATAAATGAGGTGCTGGACTTGGACCAGTGAGATCTACTATCCCCTCCACCTCACAGGTATTGATATGATCCCCCTATGTAAGTCGACCTGACTTAATAATAACAAAGCAGTAACAGTGATAATTTACTTGGCGGAATAGCATTCAAAAATCTGAAACTCAGAAACTTTGCCTTTGGCTTTTCTGCACATGTACACTTTCATGTATTTGTAAGACTGGCATTATTGAAGAACATTTCTCTTAGAGCATGTTGAATAGTTACCCTATATTTTTATTCGGTTGTTGAAGATTTAAAGTATTTCCCTAATCCTACAGTTAATTGTAGGAAACTCTTTAACTGTTCTAATGGAAAGAGAAAACCTCCTTATCTGTGCATGTGACCATTTGTCACGGGAGAGTGGAAAATAATGCTGGGGGTCCAGCCCGTAGCTCCCTAAGATTCTGGGTTCCATCACTGGTCCAGCTGGCATGCCCACCAGCAAAGATTGCTTAGGAAAGGAAAGGAATTGGCAGGCTGCCACCCTGGATCATCTCCCTCTCCCACTGGCATTAGCAAATCCCGCAGGATTGCGACCACCAATACAGCCCACTGCTCTTTGGGTCCTTATACCACCTGCATCCACAGCTGCAGCTGACCCACTTTAGACTTTCCAGCAACCTGGCATTTCCCATTGTGTAGTTTTCAGGGGGGAGGGTTAGCGTCCTTATCTTTGGAGAGAAGGAAGGGCCAGAGGCAGGCCAGGCTCAAATGCGCCTCTTCTGGGAACACTCTAGGTTGCCACTCCCCACAAATGCACCACCATGTCCCACAAATGCACCGTTTCTGAGGTCTGAGTCTCAAGTCTTGCAGACCAAGTGCCTGGGCAGATTCCTAGCCCACCAGTGATCCACGAAAGGAAATAAGTGGGCACTCCCTAGCTTGCTTTTGGAACTGCCCAGAAATAAAGTCTGCAGGAGGAGTGATTTCCACGGAGAAGAGCGGGGAAGGTGACAGGCACCTGGAGAGAAGCGGGGGCCGCTCTGGAGTGAGCGAGGTCTCCAAGCGAAAGGCCTTTGGAGAGCACAGGAGAATCTTATTCAGCAACACGTGTTGCCTGGTGTGAGATTTATCGTAACTACAACTCTCTAGGCTTTTTCTCTTCACAGCGAGATGCCTACAAACGTTCCGTCTATAACTTCACAAGTTTTAGGTCAGACCCCAATTTGGAAAGTGTCCAAATCCACCTTCAGCTAATTTGGAAGCCCCCCGAATTAACCTGGACTGTGTCTGAAGCTTCGGGCGTAGTGAAGTTCAAAATGTGGCTGTGAGGTCCTCCAATTTTTGACTGACCTGAATGAAATGTTACAAGGGACTAAGCCTGCTCTATTTCAGATGATCAGAATTAGGGATTTTGTGCAGGAATGGTTTGGGCAGATTGTGAGCGTCAGAAAAGGAAGACCTTAGCTCTGCGTTTTACTCCCCTTGTGCAATGTTTGTGGCCCCAAGGATCCCACCCAAGTTGCTGCTGGAAGGCGCCAACAGACTGGCCCACCAAAAACCTCCTGCGGCATCAACCCCCCAGAGAGAGAAGGACCCTCGGCTTCTGCTCCCTTCTCAACACGCCAAATTCAGCTAAGGGGGCGTGCCCCGTGGTCATGCTGCCCTGGCAACAAAGGCAGCTGAAAGCGTCCTGGTGTCCCCCTTTGCTGGTCTAAGTGGGTGGAAGTGACATCAGCAGCCCCAGAGGCTGGATGCAGGCGGAAGTCCAAATGGCACCAGCTTTCCCCAGCGAACAATCACTCTGAGCCAGGTGACTCAGACACAAGTCCTAGGGTGGCCTCACCCTAACAGGCCGAACTGGTTCAGGGCGGGTTGGCCCATCCCACCAGATCAGGTTTCACTGAACATCCTATCCGTGGGGGTTCACCAGAAGGGCAGCCACCCCGATGCCTTCTTGTGCCCCCAGTCCCCCAGTGGAGGAGGCAGCAGCTCCAGCTGTAGCTTCTCTTCTCTCCACAACGAAGGGAAGGGAAGAACCGCCAAGAGATACTCTCCTGCGCCCAGTGGGGGATTCAGCCTCCTTGGCCCCAGAGAGGCCCAGGACAGCATTGGAAAGAACACCAGCCTGCGTGCCTCTCTCAGGCTGCCAGATGTCTAAACCCCTGATGGGCCCAAGACAGGCCTGGCAAGAGGCTGCCATTTCCTCCTGAGCCGGGCCAGAACAAAGGGGAGGAGCACCACCACAGTAGGGCAAAAGGGCAGTCCCTCCGGACTGTGCCTCTGGATGGGGGTGGATCCCGCCCAATGGAACTGCCAGGCCGGTGCCCCTCCAGCCGGGCACAGGAAGGAATAGCGGGGGCTCCTCCTTGGA